GCAATGCTGAGAGATGCGTTACACTTTTCCCAGTTAGTGCAGGGGTCAAATCAAGCACAACATCCCAGCGGAGGGAGATGCTCACAGTGGTACAACCCTCCAATCGTATTCGGACTGCCCCAGTGTTTCCGGAAGTCGTGTGTGTGTGTGTGTGTGTGTGTGTGTGTGTGTGTGTGTGAATACTACTTTACCACCTGTGTGGGTCCGTGGATTCACCATGACGATCAAGGTACAACATTTCCATCACCACAAAACCTTAACGTCGCTGTTCTGTGAAAACTACACCCACCTCCTTCCCACCCACCCCCACCCCTAACCCCTGGCAACCCCTAATCTGTCCTCCGTTTTTAAAAGTTGCCATTTTTAAATGTCCTCTGGATGGAATCATTTCTATCGTGGGCTGGCTTTTTGCTCAGCCTAATTTCTGGGAGGCATCAGGATCTTTTAACTCCACGGTAAATCGTGCATCCAGAGTTCCCCATCCAGCAGCCCTGTCTTATTGTCTGAAGTTTGTGAAGAAAACCCTCGTGCCTCTGTTTCCTCATCTGTAAAATGGGGAGATGAAGAGCCCTGAGTTAGACGCTTGGATAGAGCCAGGACCTGAACCCTGTGAGGTTTTGTGAGGCACAAACTGTTGCCATGGTAGCAACCAACCATTCCCGCCTGATGCTGCCACCTTTGCCCCGCCTTACTCGCTTGTGATTGGAGGAGGTGTCGTGTCACATGCTTTGACTGACATATAAGGACGTGCTCCAGAACGTTCAGCAAGGTTTCAGGTTGGAGCGTAGCATAAAACAGACCCCAGGAAACTCTAGCGAGAAAGCAAGTTTTCCCTTGTTCAAGAGTTACAGATTTTCTTAGCGGTTTGTTCAAAAGAAAGAAAAAACGCATGCAAAAGTTCTTGCCTACCTGGGATGATTCACTGCTATCTCTTGAAGCTCCAATAATTTTACTTCTTCATGCACACAGTTAACTACCCTGAAGAAGATTCCAGAAGCTTTCAGTGGGAGGGTGGTGTGGGCGCTTTGCCATCTCTTGAAGCTCTTGTGCTTAGAAATAAGCATTGGCCTGGGAGGTTACAAAATGAATACATTCTGTAGTTTGGTTTATTTTTAATGAGCCACCATTGTGGGCCCAGGGCGTGGGAGATGTTCATAGATTGTTGCTGTTCTGACGCCCACAAACCGATGGAAATAAACATTCTAGGTAGGTCATCTTGCCAGATACACAGTGGAGCGCGCTGGAAATGTTTGGTCTTCCCCCTCCCCTAAAACGATGTTCTGGGGAGATACAGAACTGAGTTGTGCGCATGTCTGGACATTTGTGTTACTTATATATGGCTGTGCGACATATCACCCTAAACTTAGTGACGTCAAGCACCAGTCCACATTTATTTCTGGGGGTCAGGAATTGGCTCTGGCTCAGGACCTTCCATGAGGCTGCAGGCAAGATGGCAGCTGGGGCAGCAGCATCTGAAGGCTTGGTGGGGACTGAAGGAGCCGCTTCCAAGGTGACTCCCTCACAGGATTGCTGACTGAGGGCCTCCGTTCCTCACGGCTCCTGAGAGCTGCTTGAGTCTCCTCACAACGTGGTGACTGCCTTCCCCCAGAGACAGTGTGTGACTCAAGGGAGAGGAAGGAAGGCCTTTTCTGACCTGGTCTCAGAACCCACACACCATAACTTCCAACACCCCATTGATTACACCGG